AATGAAATCTTTTTAAAATTAAAATTAAATAAAATTAATTTAAAATTAAAATTAATCTTAAGCAATTTTAGAAAAAAATCAATATAAGGATAAGATAATTTTATAATTAATATGATATCAATGTTTTAGATGCCTATTAAAAAAATATATTATGTATTTTAATAAATTTAATGAATGAAATTAATTTTAAATTAATACATTTTGAAATAAAATCTTAAAAAGTAAAAATTAGTTTGATCAATAAATATCAAAATGATTTCAATCAATTTTAAAAATAAAATCAATTAAAATAAAAATAATTTATAATTGATAAAATGAAATTAAATGATATTTATTATGTTGACCAGTTGGCTCGATCGATTAAATAAGTTGAACCAGACTCAGTGACCAAAACGAGTCGATCACCAGGTTGGGCTTTAAAACATTGGTTTGGGACTTGGGCATCAGGCATCAGGCATGTGGTGGATCTTGGCCATGATTGAAAGGCAGAAGATCTTGTGTCTAATGGAATATTGTGGTGGCATTTTATCAAAGGTGCCAAATATAGTTGCCATTAATGGCATCCGAATACAAAAGGAAAGGGATGTTGTTGGTGAAACCAGTTATGTTCTGCAAGGGAAGAATGGTATTCAAGCTGGCAAAGTAGCTCTAGTTCCCTTGATGACTTTCAACAGCAAAGGCTTAAAGAGGATTGGAAAACATGGGAACATGGTTGGGAGCATAGGGAGATGAACGGGTGCCTTGTGCTTGCATAGAAGAGGACCATGCCCCTCATGTTGGTTAATCTTTAGGAATAGATAGGGCAGCAATTTGGGAGTTGGGGACTGTTTGTTGCCAGAATTCTTACTCTCCCCATGAAGCTAGTTAAATAGGTACGGATCTCCACTAACTTTTGATGCTCATAGTGACTCTTATTTTTACATTAGTAATCATATTTAACCCATACAACAATTATAATCATAATATCTAATTACAGATGACTCTCTTTATTTAATTATTTATATCCATCATAAGCATTGTTTAAATCTAATATTAATGCTGTGGGTTGTGCTTCTGATTTTGTTTGTAGGCTATGATGCCATGAGATGGAGTTTCAGATGTAACTTCTTATTATTATTATTATTTTTTTTTTTGGGTACAACTGAGAGAAACTAACTAACTAGCAGCGCAAATAAGATACGCCTAATAGGTCCCCTTCAAGGAAAGCATTTAGGCCAGGCGGTGGAAAATCAAAAATGGTGGTTCCTACTGGTAAACTACGCCCAATTCCTGCAAGGAAATCAGCAGCAAAATTACCCTCCCGAGGTGTGTGTTGAATGACAAATGAAGTGAATTCATTACTTAACCGGCGAATGTCAGCTACTAGTATAGCTGCTAAGCTGTCATTGTCCTTGGTGCCTTCAATAACCCGAACTGCAGCAAGGTAGTCCATTTCTACAACTAGGTGACTAACCTTTAAGGCTTTACACAAGATCAAACCTTCTCGACATCCCCATAACTCAGCTAGGAAAATGGAAGCCTGTCCAATGTTCACAGAAAAGCCTTTTATAAAAGCACCTGTTGAACCCCAAAGAACTCCCCCTGCTGAATCCCGAAGAACTCCCCCTGCACTCGCCAACCCAGAAACTTGCTCTCTAGAGCCATCTGTATTTAATTTGCAAAAAGGTGAGTCAGGCGGTTGCCAACTTATCCACCTTAGAGCCCTATCCTTATTGAAGATGTTACAAGCCATAGCCTTAAAAGTGTCCAACGCATCATTATTAATGAGACTGCAAAGCACAGCTGCTGACAGTTCCTCCCTTTTAAAAACCAAACGATTCCTGCACTTCCAAAGTTGCCAAAATTGTGGAAAGAAAAAGTACATCATAGGACATATTTCCTTGTAACTTCTTATTATTTAATATATTTCTTTATTTTCTTTAAAAAAAAAAAATGAAGTTAAATTTTGATAAGAGTCGTAAATCCGCTGGGCAAAGCAGCTCCACACTCAATCATACTCCTGCTTTTCTTCCTCCTTTTTCCTGACGAGGTCTGAGCTTGGACCTACCTAATGTAACAGCCCGCTCTGTGCTACACTGCCCTGCCACTTCCACCCCCTCTCCGATTGCTAGCTACACCACCTATCCCGGCTACTACCCGCACTCTTTCGATTCTCCCATCTAGCAATTTGTTCAGATTACTGTTAATACTGGTAGCGGAAGCATCCAGATGATTTTGTGGGCTTGTCATTGCTGCCCCCAATGTCCACAATTCTAGTGGTGTCTGGTGCTGTGCCTTTGAGTTCCGAGGCGATCTTGGGGAGTATCAGAATCGGGTTTTCTCCGATGATGAAAGATTAGGATTGTGGGGCTCCCATAGGTTGTGAAAAACCAGTGGCTCGACAGTCAGAGTCTTCACATAATCAACGGCAGACAAGTGGTTGTCACGATTTGCCTTCCCTCGATTCAGTCTCAAGGTACCATTTTGATCGCACACAAAATTTTCATCTCCTGCTCTTATTTTATGCCTTATCTACCTCTAATCTCGATTAAAGTAAATTTGTTATGGACTTGATAAGCACGATATTTCAGACTTTCGTGTTTGTTTTAATACCTCAGTGTAGTATTACCAATCCCTTGTCTCGCCCAAAACCCGTTTGGTTGGGAGTAATGGCTATCCTTCAAATATAATGAAAAATTAAGAAACTTACTTTAGGAATAGGCTAGCAAATTATTAAAGCAAATGTACCATCACCTCTTCTCTGGCCTACTTGAACCCATGGTTAATGTCTCTGATTCAAACACCAACCAGTTTAGGATTCCGGTTATGTCTTACGAGTGGCAACCACCCCAATTTGATCACCAACAGCCACCACAGCATATCATACAAAGTGGTGTACGCATTACATTCAACATCACCCCTCAGGGGCAGTGCGAATCCTGGTTCTTAACTCAAGCTTACAACTTGCTTGTGCAGCAGTCCACTAGGAGTGATGCTCCTACTGCAATCCTATCTAGCCACCCTCAGACTCCTCCCAATCCTTCAATGGTTCCTCGTCCAGCAGCTTACAACCCTGTGAGAAATGCTCCAATTGTGAAGCAAACGTTTGAAGTTAATTGTGTGGTAATCTGTTCTTAATTCAGGATTATTGTGACACAGAATGCTAATTTCTTCAAAAAAATCTTAGTGGAGGCATGTTTACCTTTGTACATTTATATAATGGAAAAAAGTCCTCAATGGGTCATTTTTACCTATTTGTCTTTTTTACCCTTGGGATGCATGGTTCAAAATGATTCTGATTCGCGTTAGGAGTGTTGTTTGGTTTTATATCCTAATATTATTGTTAACTTTGTCCTGAAATTCTTGTTGACCTTTTTCATTTTTCCTTTGAATTAACTAGGGTTTTTCATAGGCAATATTTCAAAGGCGGCTTAATTTTGATGAGAGAAGAAAAATGCCAATCTACTTATGTTGTTAAATCATAGTCTAAATTTTTAGTTTTTAATGGATCAATCAATGAAGTGTTACAATGTAAGACTTAGTTCTACTACGATCAACATCACTTTTGGTGTCCAAAACAAACCATTTGCCCAGAAATTAAGCTGGCTTAACAATTAGGTTTTTATAGGGGCACGTTAGGGGAAAAAAATTCACTTCTTTGGCAGCATCTCTGGGTGATATTGTCAGCAACCTAACCTTTCAATGATGTTCTTTTTGGTAAAGATTTCATGGTACCTTTCAACTTTTAGTTGGGACTATTATCTATAATTTGCTATCAGTGTTTTGCAGTGAACTTATTACTTTTTCAGTGCATCTTTCTTTTAGTGAGGCTATTGTAGATCCGCTGTTTGAAGGTCTAAACAAAGCAGTAGCAATATTGGGAAAAGTGCTATTCTTTGTTAAGCACAAGAATGCCACTCCTCTGTAAGTAATCTACTTGAAAATTCCATCTAGTCTCATATCGTGCACACATGCCTCTTTCTTGTAGGCTTATCCCTCTAAGCTTGCATTTACTAATGAAGTCACATTCTGTGTATTTCTCACTGACTTTAATCAATAATAGAAACAGATAATGGTAAGTATCTAGTTTCTATAACATTATTTGGAGAGGAGGGGGTGAGGGTAGGGTTGAGTTGGTTGGGTTTTGGTATTTGCCCTTAGAAAGTTTGAATATTGTTACAGACCTTCAGTTTTGCAATACATCAATCTTTTAAGCTGCAGGGGTAATTCGTCATCAATGCGAAACCAATAATTTCCCTTCCCCTGCCTCGTCCTCTAAGTTCCATAATCAATCTTTTTGCATTGCAGAAACTTTTTGGTGTGTGATTCAAATCAAAACTGTCTTGTTCTATCAGTATATGGCATGGAAGATGATGCAGTAAGAGTTCTGCTCTAAGTGCTTGTTGCTTCTTTTCTTTCTCCTTTCCTTTTTGCCCCAATTTCAACCCCCTCTCTCTCACTCTATATAACTGCTAATGTCTTATTTGCTAATTTCACCTTTCACTAATTCTTAATTCTCCTAACATTAAGTCTCAATGGTCAATTCCTGTTAATACTTGAATAAGAAGTTCTAAGCATGGCAATAAATTGTTCTTTGTTTCAAAGGGCTATCCTAATGTAGTAGAAGCCTCCATGCTGAAGTTCTGAGATCAAGAAAACTGTAAATTAATTGGACCCAAGAATAAATTTAGGAATCAGTGGATTGTAGCTATCTATAATTATTCAAATCTTGCATTATCATGATTAAACCTTTTCCTCTCAGATTAATGTAGGCAATTGGCTAAAGCTTTTGGATCCCTATTACCACTAGGTTGACTTTTCCTGGAAGAGGAAGGTAAGTTCTTTTTCAGGTTCTTACTTATTTTTGCTTTGTTGAAATCTTAACAGCCCAGCATATATGAACATGCTGCAAATGCAGGCATGTTAATAATTTTTTGCATTATCATTCTGAACAACTGAAATGCATTTTCCTCGGCCTCTTTGCCTGTATTCATCTGACAATCTAATTTCTTATTGAGTAGTTCTTTCTGTAATCTGAACCAGCATTATCAGTTTAAATCAATTCTTTGGATTTCATGGAACGAGTGTGGGTGAATGGAAAAGCTCTCTCCCCATTAAGTTGCTTGTCTATCTATATATGCACAGCGTATACCATGAATAGTTGTTCAAAGTGTAATTTTGTGCGTTCCTACCGGGTCTTTGTTGGTGTTTCATGTTGTCCTTATGGTGTACTTAGAAGGGGGGAACGAAAGGAAAAGAGAGTTTATATGGTTTCCTGTTTTCAAGTGATGCGGCCTAGAAAAACAAAAAATTTGACCATCAAATGGAATCTGCATTTGTGATCTTATTACAAATCAAACATCATTGCTATATTGTTTTGGTAATTCGAAGGAGATCAACACTTATGTCATGTTGGCCAAAAAGAGCGCCAAATATAGGTCAGGCAAAATGGGACCCCAATCCATATATTAAAAACCATCTTGTTAAATGCCTAACAATTGATGAAAGAGAGAGAAACTAAGAGAAAATTCTGGGGAATTGGGATACCTTGCTGTGCAATCACTAATTACCTTATGGTTTCCCCATGGCAAACACAAAACAATTAGAAGATGAGGGCATTATAGTTAGTATTTTAATTTGTGAACTAGTTAAGCTGTCTATAACTCAAGGGAAACTAAATGAAATCATTATTCCACCGATGAAGCCCATGCATCATGGAGTCTGTTTAGGGGTTATTTAGTACTTGTATGTATGGCCCCCTATGATTGACTAGGAATAACGGTGTTTTTAAGGAAAAGGAGCCACCTGATGTTACAATAGTCGTTGAATGTAGTCAAATCAGATCCCTGGAAAAGTCGCAGGAAAATAAAATGCAATTGGCGTGCATAAAGGATTTAGAGTCTGCAATTTGTTGAGTACCCCAGCTAGTACTCCCTAGATTAATAAAATTTAGATTAATAAAATTTATGTATTGGTAAGCATGTATAATAAAGTTGAATTTATTTAATTCATCTACTAAACTCATCATGTAAATAAACTATAACTCTTAGTCCTATATTGAGAGAAGAAAAAAAAGAAGAAAAAACCTATTTAAGTCTTGTATTTCGTAGGAATCGCCTTGGTGGTTATGATCGTGTCATGTTCCTGGAATGTTTGATATACAGAAATTCTGAAAACCGTCTTTTTTGTTATCAAACTATTTGATTTTATTAGGGAGAGAAGATGCTTTTGTCTGATATTTTATACCTGTTTATTATCAGTGTTTCGTAACCTTTCCCTCTAACACAAATTCAAATATCTGGGCATAAACCGTTCAACTCCAAGAACTCTAGACTCTAAAATAAATATTAAAAAAAAAAATTATGTTTTGCACTTTAATTTGCATTAAATTGTAGAATAAAAATTATTAAATAAAAAACAATTCTCAATATCATTAGCCCAATAGTTTAAATTACGCCGTATAATTCAATTTGGACTGCACTACTTTTTTAAAATTACTTAAAATCTTGGCCATTCTTTTCTGCATTTTTATCTTTCAAGGTAATTAAGAAATGGGGCAATTGATGCCGGCAAAGTTACTAATTTCTCCTTTTGACTTTTTACCAGTTACTACAAGGAAAAGAAAACAGAAGGAAAATAACAAAAGCAGAACCTTCTATCAAAATCGACAACCAGATGCCTAGCGGGTCCTGCAAGAAGTGGCCATATTGATAACAGTGTTGCTAAATACTTTTTTTAATGATGTGATTGTTCTTGCCAGAACAATGAAGGCTTACATAAAAGCTCCAACCGTTAGATCTGGAAGTGTAGACAATTAAGCAAAAGACCAAATTGCAATAGAAGTAACATTTCACATCCGAAGTTAAGCACTCTAATATCATGTTTGGTTAAAGGATTGTATACTTCTTAGTCAAACTAAAAAAATAATCCAATTTGATTAACAAACTAGGAAGAAAGAGGGAATAAGGATGTGATTTTTCATCTTCATTTCACAAAAAGTAACGTCAAGGTTAATCACAGGATGCAGCCGAGCAAAATGTAGAAATGAATTAATGAATACAACAACAGAAATAAATGTTCCAGTTTGATTTGTCTGAAATGAAACAAGATATCTACCTGTGCAAAGAGAGTCCTTCATATGGAAATATGATGAGTTATGGATATCTGTTGATTATGTCTATTCGTCTCTACTGCTAGATCTAGAGTCGGTATCCCCTTCCACTTCCTATGCCATTATGAGAATCAACAAACACACTCTCAAGTTCTGTTTGATCTGCTCTTAGACTACTGGCATTGTTTGACTGACTGTTACTTTGAGACTCTGCCAGCATCTGAAAATATGCATGTGGTCCCCAACCTGCGGTGACCAAATAGAAAGGAGTTTTAAAAGGACACATAGAAAAAGATGGAGTTAACAAGGGAAAACTTCGTAACACACTATGTGGTTTGGTCCAATTCACTTTATGGATCTATGGTTGGTTTGTAACATTCACCAACCATCCTAAGGTTAAGAATGATCTTTTCCTTAAATTAAACCAATTTCTAATAGCACTAACCATTTTTTTTAATCACTGTTGGCTGTTACATTTGCTATTTATAGGTTTCCAGCATACTTCTATCACAAAAATGTAATGAACTGACAAGGAACCAAAAATGTTATTGTTCCCCCAACATTGTTCTTTCGTAATTTCTATTTAATGCATATTGCAATGCCAATTTACAATAATTAAATTGAAATAGTAAGGTATCCAAAAAGTTACATAGAGAAATGCAGTGGGGGATATTACCATCAACATCATAAGGTGGTGGAAAGAACTGCAAGTAGCAAAATGATGCAACTGTTATACCTGCAGAACAAGGTGGCAATATAAAGAGTAAAGATTCATTATAAGAAGCAAGCAATTTAAACAAAAAGTTAGTTCTCAAGAAACCAACCTAGGAGACCTCCAGCAAAAACATCCTGCCAGTGATGCCAATAATCATCAACTCGGGAAATTCCAACCAAAGCAGCAACAAGTAACGGCAAGAAAACAATACAAAGCTTTGCAACATGGCCCTTGCGATCAAATACACAAATTTTTCCAGATATGTACAATGCAAGAAAACCAAGACCTGCAAAGGACCCTGAATATTGAAGGCCAAAGTTAATCCAAGTCATTATTTTTGCTGTGGAAAACTAATGATAAACAAAGGCATGGATAAAGAACCTGGCAATCTTAGCCATTAAACTCCCCAACTTAATTACAACTATTGAAAGAAAATTCATGTAAAACCTTAATTTGTCCAAAATCTTTGATTCTTTTGCAGACTTAGAACTAAACCTGGCATAAAATATATTTCTAAATTTTCAGTGGAAACCAGACATTGCCAGGTAAGAAGGAACAACAAAGCTTTTGATGGAAAAGAGTATGACTGGGAGAAGTCACTTGAAAATATTTTTTCTAAATCACTGCAGCTGGGCTATTGTCCAGTTGATTTCAATTGGATTGGCAAAAAGATTAACAGAGAGAACAATGAAAAGATTGGAAAAAGGTGGCCAATTATTATCTTTAATCCCTAGTGTAGCATCAGAAAATCAAACCACTGGAATGTTTTGATCCAAAATGGTTGGCACTCACACAATATCATATTGTTAAAAGAAAATTTCCAAGAATATAATCACAGAACCAAGAGGAGAAGTCATGATGAAAAGATATAAGAGATGGTTGTTAAAAATAATTACTAATTAGATTCCTTACAAGAAGTATGACCACTTGGGAAACTCTTATGTCCTTCCTTAATGACACTCTTCAATCCAGTACATCTAACATCCCCTGTCACTGGATCATAGACCTGCAGACATCATTCACCATGTGTTGACTGAGTATATGACAGTTTAAAAAGTTGATAGTATAAACTTAAACTCAAAGAAACATTATAAAAGTTAAAGTAAATCAAGGAAAAGTCAAGGATCAACCCCTTTGCCATCAGGGAAACAACGCCAGAAGAAGTCAGGACGAGGTCGACCAACAGCATCTTTAATAGCATCAGTTATCACAGCAGTGATAAGTACAGAAAACAGAAGACCTACATATCCGTTACAGTCCATCAAGTGTTATTACCATGTTATCAATATAAAATTAACAGGTCCTGGCCTTAAAATTCTCTAGGGGAAATGGTACCCAATATGGCTTGATGCAGATCAAAGACATCCTTTCTGATGAAGTAGTAGACAAGAATGACACAAAAGGGCAGCATTATTGCAATCATCTGTTAACATGGACGAAGGAAGTATTATTATCTTCAAAGTGAATCTCAACAGGCATCTATGTGCCAGAAAGTAAAATCAGTAACACATTGTATTTCAAAGTCAGAACATACAGGAACACCCCAGAAGGGAATGGTATTGCCTTTCAAGGGGTATTTCAGGTCTGTCATCATATCCTCTCCAACAAAACGGTGAAATGGTTCTATAACATTCAAAATGACCTCTACCACAATAAGAAGCAAAAGAATCAACCAGTCATGCATGTGAACCCTTGCAACTTTTGCTCCATGGGATCTTAGGGTGTGAGAACCCAACTGAATGTCTGGCATTGTCACTGATTTTCCAGACAAAAAAAAAAAAACAAAAAAGAGTCAATAGATGAAAGTGAAAAGGAACAAAAGTATTATAGAAAATAAAAGAATGGCAACAAAGAATCAGAATATGAATATACAACAAAATATACAGTGAAAGTTACATCACATATAAATTACAAAACATAATTTTGTACTAGTATTGAAAGAAGCCACATTGCAAGTCCATTTCATCTGGAATGCCAATAAAAGAGATAAAATAACCCAACTGATACCGAAGGTGAACAAGTTTTTTAAGAAAGAGACTTAGCTTTGATTTATCTGAAATCACATTATCTATACATACAACAAAAATTATCACAATGCACAAGCACAGACAGATACAAAGGAATAGAATAAATCTAGGCGGTGTTGAAGAAATTCTTTACTATATTCCCCGTTTGGGAGCTAAGAAAGAGACGGAAATGAAAAGGGATCTAAATATTCAGCATCATAGGCAACAATAAAAGCAGGAGACCGAAAAAAAAAGAGAGTAGAAGATAACAAGTAAACAAACATACAAATACCAATGCCAAGTCTAGGCAGAGTTCATTCATTTTCCCTGATTTTCTCTGCAACCAAACAGCACAAAGAATAAATCGAAGCACAACGGAGCTCCTATTCAGATAAAAAAAGAAACAAACAGAAAAATGTGCATGTGAAGCACAGAAATTAAAGAATGAAAAACAAACAAACAAAAGCCTCACACTCAACTACGCCTAGTCCAGGAATTCAATAGAACCGAAACCGCTGAAATAATAGCAGATTTCCTTCCATTTTCTCTCACATTCTCCAGAAACAAACAGCAAAAAAAGAAGCAAAAAAAAAAAATCTCGCAGAACTTAGTAGATAATCAGGATCAAAACAGAAGCAAACAAGAAAATCTGAGCATACATTTTGATCTAATTGCAGAGATACCAAAAAAAACCTTAAAATGAAAGTTACTTGATCCGTCAGCAACAGCTTTGGAAGATAAACCGACCTGTAGAAAATCTGAATCTTCAGAGGCGAATTCAGAGAGAAAGATGGAGAGAATCAGTGAATAAAGAAATACAGCGCGTTTTGAATTGTTTCCCGCAGATAGAGAGAAACAGGGAAGGCTCTTTCCGGTGTTATTATGAGATTTCTTTTATATTTTAAATATATCTTTAAAAACGCGTGAATTCTAAGAAAAAGGAAAGGAAAATGTTATAATGAGTATGACAACAAAAAAAAAATGCCATCAATTTGATGAAATTCTTTTTGTAAGGACTTAGGCCGCTGGAGTGAGACAGCGACAGAAAGGTACAAAAAGAGACCCTGCGAATTTCATTTTTTGGCCATGGACCTGGGAATTCGATTTGAAAATGAAATTAGGAAGGAAAAAGCAAAGTACGTTGGCAAAGAAATAATAATAAAAGTAAAAGCGAAGTATTACATACTCGTTTTGGGAACTTTTTTTTTTTTTTTTGAGTATTTTCAACGTAGAGCCTTCATCTCTAACCACTGAAACACATTAAATTCAGAATGCAAGCTTAGTTATTTAAATCAATTGGACAAAAAATAAGATTTCTTTAAAAAATAAGAAAATATTGTAGTACAATTTGTTCTGTATTAAGGAGTGCACCATAGATCAGTTTACATTTCTTTCTTTTTTTTAAAAGACAATAACAATATTTAGATGATAAAAATGATAATAGTCGAACATTGGATATTGGATATCAATTATCACTTCGTTGAATAGCAAACATCACTTCATTTGTTTTATTATATTGTAATAAAAGTTTAGTTGAGTTAGCATTGATTTTATTTAAATTTTCAATTGTAAAATTACCATTAAAGGTTTAAATTTATACAATATTACTAAAAAAAACCTTTTTATGAAATGTTACACACCAATTTCAGTACTTCAAAAAATTATATAAACATTTTAGAATTTATCAAAAACTCACTTTGTGTATGTCCTTTTTTTTATTTTCCTTTATATATATACTTTGGAGAAAACTGATTTTCAAGTTGACCATAAAAAAAGTGTTAAGAATTAGAGGAGGGCATAAATAAGGTAGGGTACCCTATTGATGATTCTTTTGTTGCCACAAATTTTTGGTAATGATTTTTATAATCAATACTATGCCAAAGATACTTTTTAGTAATTGATTACCTGCCAATTTTTTTTTTTTTTTTTTGGCAATGGAATCCCCTACAATTACCATACGAATACTTGTCAAATTTATTTGACACATTTTGTTCATTTGCAAATTTGAAGTTTTAAATAACTTTTAGGGAAAAAAAATTCAATTTGCAATAGAAGTATTCCAAATGAAATTGATAGTGCCACATGGTAATGGACTCATTCTACTGTTAGCTTGCTTACCATGTCATTGTCTCACTGTGTAAAATGACAATGTGATTATTGTGACATGATATGACAGAACTCATCTCTAACGGGAATGCTTATAAAATCCCTTTACATTTTTATTATTTATTAAAAATATTTAAATAATTTTATATGTATTTATTTATTTATTTATAAATTGATATAAAAAATACTTATCTACATATTTTATTGCCCCTAAGAGGATGACTTAGTTAACTAAGATGTTAAGATTTTAAATTAAAAATTTTAAAATTAAATCTCAAGTAAGACGGAAAGAAAAAAATA